TCCCTGGGCTCCGCTGTCAGGGTGGCTCCTGCAGGGGAAGGGCAGCCAGCAGGACGTGCACAGGCCGTCCAGCAGGGCCGCCTGCCTCTGCTGAGGCTGGCCATGGCACCTGGGCATGGCTCTCCCTGCTGCCCCGCTCGAGCCTCCATCCTTCCAAAGCACTCCCCCCTCTGGGTCAGCCTGGGCCCTGGGGGCAGCAACTGTGTGGGCCCTCGAGCAGACGTAGTCTGCGTGGTCCTGCTCCCCTCCCCGCCCAAGCCAGGGCAGGTCCCAAGAGTCTATGCAAATTTGCTGGAGGGCCATTGGCTGGGCTGGAGCAGCACACACTCTCGCCAGCCGTGGGATCAGAGACGATGCTCGAGGCTCAATGCTCGCCGGGCGGATTTGCATGAGGGGGTCGTTCTCCCGGCATGCATGCGGGATTTAAGGGCTGATCTGGGAGAGGAGCCACCACACTGGCCTTTCTCCTTTCGTCTTTCCCACCACAAGCCCAGAGTCCTGCAGGGAGATCGCCATGGCCTGGCCCCTCTTTTGCTTGGCAGTTCTCAGTTCCTGTGCAGGTAAAGGGGGAAGAAGTGACCCTCAAGAGGGCCGCTTCTATGGGGCCTTCTCAGCATCCGAATGATTGTGTTGAAGAGATGTGAGGGCCCAGCACAAATGTAACCCTCCTGTTCTTTATGTGCAGGGGTCAGATCTCAGCCAGCGGTGATTCAGCCGGCCTCGCTCTCGGTGTCTCTGGGCCAGACGGTTCAGATCTCTTGCTCCAGAAGTTCTGGCGGCAGCTGGGCCAATCTGAACTGGCAGCGCCAGAAGCCTGGCCAGGCCCCCCAGTTTGTGCTTTAAGGAAGCAGCACCAGGGGACCTGGGATCCCTGATCGGTTTACTGGGACAGCCTCTGGAACCACCAACTATCTGAATATTGCTAATGCCCAGGCTGAGGACGAAGCTGATTATTACTGTCTCTCTTGGGAGAGAAAGAGTAACACGATACACAGTGATATATTCAGATGGGGAGGACAAAGCAAAATCTT